CGGGTTTTAGTGGATTATCTTTAAGCATAGTTTCCTGCTCTGATGATATCTGTTACGTGGGACAAGGGCTCAGCAAGGATTAATCGAGGTTGTAGAGCGGTGCAGCGAGGATCATTTCGCACAGCTCTAAAGCAATCCCCCACAGATTCAGGTAAAACAAACTTATGAATCCTTTCCACTCTTCCCTTCAAACAAAATGGAATGTACTCCAATAATAATCTTTACATTCCCAAAATAATGATTAGTGATAATTACATAACCATAATAAAAGCATGTACAAGAGAATAAAAATACATGTTTAATGGTACCAACGTACGGCACTGGCTCGAAGCTCAGCTTGAAGACGCTCCATAGCTCTTTCATGATCAGCTAGATACATTCCACTGTTTCCCAATACAATTTCATCTTTCTTTTCGCCATCAATTTCCACATCATACTTATCCAGAATTCCTTTTGCTTTTAGTCCTAAGGATACTTCCTCGAAATCATCATCCACAATTGCACCAAGGCCCAGTGTCATCCTCTTATTCTTGCGGTTTATATCAGCCTTTTCATCATCAACCAAGTTTACATTTTCTAAGACATCACTACCTTCTTCGGCCAATACATCTTTAAAGGAATTAAAATATAAACAATACCCTTATCCTTTAGGGTAAGTATTATTGATTTTTCATCTGCGAATTTTTTAGAATCGTGTTGAATTTTTAGACCTGCAAGATCTTTTGAATCATAATTATTCTTGCAAAATATAACTAGTAAGTATATGCAGGTACCTGTGAAAGTTTTTTGAGATGAGATACTACCAATTCAGAGACCCCAAATTGTTCATCCATCTCGGCCAAAAGTTTGTCCTAGAAATAAAAAACTGCTATAAATATGAAATACCCTGTTCCTTGCTTCCTCCTTTTGCTTCTCCTTTATACGCATCTTTTCTACCCAGGAAAGGGTCATGGTTTCACCACCAGATCCAAGAGATTGAGTGTTGCGAAGCTTTTCTAATATTAGACGTTTTTCTTTAAGGGTTTCAAGTTTTTCCTTCAATTTATCTGCTTTCTGTGACTCTCGAACATTTTTAGCAGGAGCATGGACAAAATCTTGTTTCTTAGGGTCACCACTTGACTTGCTTAGGTCAAGGTTTAGTGGGGCCAATCCTAACTTTGCGCGAAGCTTGCTAAACTAAAGAAAGATAACAAAGATTTACTTGGTTTCCTCAATTGAAAGCGAAACATCATTGCCTGACTTAGCATAGGTTTCTAGAATTAACACCAAGGAGGTTCATACCTTCATCTTGTCTCAATTTACCATCATTTCTGCCTTTGTAACTTCTAAAATCCTTATTATGTCCATGCCTGCCTGGTGGAGAGGCTGATCGTGATCTAGATCGCGAGCGCTTATGCCT